ATGTGAAAGGTTCTCTAAAAAATAGTTAATAAAATGTCACGACTCCAGAAGCAGTCAAAACCGTTCGAGAGAAAAATCAGACGCACTCCGGAAAAGAAGCATGAGAAAGATGGCAAAAGAATACGAAAATGAGTCAAGGATCGATGAGAACTATTGTCAAGGACAAGCTGAAGATGATTCCTACCGTATGCAGAAAGGAGCCTTCCTCAATCAAAAAAACGAGACACTGCGGATGGAAAAGGCTCGAAAGCTGCTATTTACCGACGAGAAAATATTCACTGTGGAGCCGAACAACAACGGCCAAAATCATCGGATCATCGCTACTGACTATCAGAGTGCCTGTGAAAAATAAAAAATTCTGAATAAAACTTCGCATCCGGCTTCCGTGATGGTTTTTGCCGGAATTACCGCTGACGGCAAAACTCCTCTGGTTTTTGTGGATCCTGGAGGCAAAGTGAACCAAGTATACTACAGGGAGTAGATTTTGAAGTTGGGGGTGTTGCCCTGAGCCAATTCTCACTACGGAAACCGACCATGGACCTTCCAGCAAGACGGCGCCCCCGCTCATCGTGCCAAAGGGACTCAAGAGTGGTATCGCGCCAATTTTCCGAGTTCATCTCGGCTGCTGATTGGCCTGCTTCCTCGCCCGACCTCAACCCGATGGACTATGCCGTGTGGATATATCTGACCGAGAAGGTCTCTTCTAAGAACTACCCAAAGTATCAAAGCCCTGAAGACCGCGCTCATCAAGAAATGGGACGAAATCGACGACGACTACCTTCGTGCCGTGATCGATGCGTATCCGAAGAGACTGAAGGCCGTTATCAAATGCTAAAGGAGGACGTTTTGAAAACTATTCTTGAATTTTGTTTCTATATTGTATGAATAAAATTTGTTCCAAGTTTGGTGGTGTTTGGTTGACTTTTGAGAAAGTTATAACGTTTCAAACGCGTTTCAATATTTATTGGCCACCCTGTAATAGTAATTAAACTATCGTGAATGTGCAGTATACATCTTGCCAACCTCAAATTTATGACTCCTTGTCCGTAAATGTCTCCTTCTGTTCTGAAATTATCATCTCCCTTATTGGTGGGGTGATCCCGCTGTGCTAAATCGGGTGAAACTCGGATGAACCTGTAATTCACCTGATTCAGCTTTGTGCGTTGAACCGCTTTTGCCGCGCCGTTCACCCGAAAACCAAAAAAAATGAAAAATAGAAGCAGCCGTTGAACGGCGCGGCTTCATCGGGTCAACGGCGGTGCAAAAAAGGTCAGCGGGTGAACGGTACTGCAGAAGCGGTTTAACGCGCCGTCCCGAATTCACTACAGGTTTATCCGAGTTTCACCCGATTTAGCACAGCGGGTTCACCCCACTGATATGAGAGATGAGAGTTTTTGAGATCGCTTCAAGAATATATCTACAATATTCAAAATGGAGATCGCGGTTGACGTTATTTGGGTAAGATGGTCGGCACTGCCAAATCTTGCTCATAAACATAATGAAAGGTTAGCATGTTTATTTTTTTAAAAGTGTCCTAATGTAGAAAATTTTTTTAGTTTTTCGGACTCGATAAAACGCTAAGCAAGTCAGCATGATCAGCATCAATTGATGGGGTAAGATTTGTATTTATTTTCTTACTTTATCGTGATGTCTTTTTCCAGATAATTGCCAAAAGGTTTCCAAACAGGCCGAAATAACTAGAAGAGAAAATAGTTTTTCAAAGGTTATTTTCTGAGTGTGGCGTCTCTTTATTAGCTGTGAGGCTAATTCGAAGGCGCTTCAATTGAGTGGTTCAGTGGTTTTGAGTTTAGAATGCTTTCTTGTGCGTTTATCTGCGAGCTTGAATTTATAAGTAGTTTATTAGTCAAGTGGCAAATTAAAGTAAATATAAGAGGGGGGAAAAAGGGGGAATAAATGGGATAAAAAAGAAAGAATAGAAAAAAAGTGGTTGCAACGGCTCTATTGAGCCGACCAGAGCTTTTTATAGTCTCTGAAGAAGGTGGGGTTTAGTGTATCATTTCGAGTAGTTTCGAAATGATTTCGTGGGCGATCCATCGGTTTGAGCTGCTTCGTCGGTGATCAATCTTTGGAGATTTCGTAAGATTGCGAGAGGGGTTTATATTTAGATCTAGTCGGGTAGATTTGGGTAATTAATCAATGCTGAGTCATGGCAGTGATTGCGAAAGATTCCATCTCTTTCGTGATCTTTATGTTAAGAAAAGAATAGTTTCTCGCGATCCGCGATACTCCCGGGGCGCAATGAATCCATTTCAAGTAATTGAGGAGACAAAAACAACAATGGATAAAAATTCATGAGCTTAATTATTTCAATAACAATTTTCGTTGTTAAAAGGTTTATAATCAACAGTGTCACAAATAACACGAGTGAGGGGGACAGTAGAACGCAAAAAAAAGGGGAGGGGAGAGGAGAAGGAGAGAGAGAGAGAGGGAGGGAGAGGGGCCCGTTACTGCATGAGCGGGCTCTGAGCCATGCTCATTTGGGCTGTCTGTTGATTGAGGGGGGACAATAAGTTGTGATCTGGATTTATTCCGTTAAAAGGGCAAATGGATAAATGATGAAGGATGCCTTCTGAGGTGCAGGGACTATTTCCGCAGGCCTCTCCATATTTGTGACCTGCGCTGGTTTCCCGATATAAGAGGAAGCATTTGTGAAGAGGGTGTGTTTTCGCACGGAAACAGATTGGGCACAGATCTTTAGAAAAAATAATGTCTATTTTTTGTTGGCGGGTCATGACATTGCATGATGTTGCGAAGTGCTGGTTATTACAGAATGTACACCGAGCACGAGTGGATTCCTGCTCTTGTCTATAGTCGAAGCGTCTGCGCTTGCGGAGTCGGGCTACTTCTTCCATCATTTCGATGGTTCGCACTGTTTCGTTGCCGATTGGGGCTGTCATTCTGTTAAAATTTGAGATTTTGTTTTAGTGTCTTTATTTTTCACGGGGTCTTCTGTTACAAAATTTTTTATTGTACTTTAAACAACACAGAAAAGGGATAAAAACAACAAAAACATGTTTCTATTTCATGACTAGTAGTCGTAATACTTCAGGGGGCGAATCTAATGCGGACCTCGTCCGTGACGAAAATTTTTCCTTCGTTGTTATAGACAACGGGATTTTTGGGGTGAAGAGTGTGGAAGTTGTATTTAAGCGCTAAATAATTTTGGAGGGTTGTCTGGCCTCCAGAAAAATGTATCAAAAAGTTGGAGGCAGTTATGCCTTCCTCGCTTAGTATTATTTCTTTAATTGTTTCTCCGGTTATTCCTGAGAATGCTGCTGTGGGTTTTAGACTTCTTAAAAATTTGTTGGCCAAAGACGGGGACTCCTTCGGCCTCGATAGTGGGACGCGGCTCATCCCCAGGACTTCTGCGAGCGTCATTTCGACTTCGTTCGCAGGTGCTCGGGGTGGGAGGTCTTTCGGGAGAGTCTTTCCGGCGGCGGCTTGAGTCATTGTCTAAAGTGTGTTTGAACTTGCGGGGATTTAGTGAACTAGACTTAATAAGATTCAGTATTTATCTATATATATTTATTTTTAATCGTTTCAAAATTTCTATGCTTGCAGTTCTTTTTCATCTTCTTATAGGACTGCGCACTTGATTATGCACGGCAGTATGATTTTTATAAAGATGTATACCGCGAAGCCTATGATTACTATGGTCCCTATAGATGTGGGTAGATTTTTAAGAATAGTCCATACTAAGTGTGAAAAATCTGGCAAAATGCTTGAGGGTTGCATGTTTGGTAGGACAGATCCTTGATTGGCCTTAGATTTTTCTTCTTTCCTTGGGATGTATGCTAAAGTTCCTCGGATTTCTATATTTATTCTTTTCCGCTCGCATTTTACAGTACAGTGTTGTTCTACGTTAGCCTCTTGAAACCAATTAATTATTGTGTTTTGCGAACCCTCTGGGGTGCAACTGAGAGTTTTTGGAGTGTTATCACTCGCACAGGTAATTATCGCGTGGCTTGACTCATTTGCGCGGCAAGTAATTGTTGATTGAGCTCCTTTTGCACAGTTATAACATCCCGTGTACGGGGTGTAGTCCATTATTTCACATGGGACTGCTTCGCTTACTGTCGCTAATTCATATTGTTGTTCTAGTTGGATTTGTAAGTGAAAAGATGATTTTGAAGCGACTATTGGCGTGTTGTTTTTGATGAGTTGATAATTTGGCGTTAATAGCGGCAATGCTTGATTATTGTCCCTAAGTAGTTTGAAAAGATCAATGTTATTGCAGTCGCAATTTGCCGTACTTTCTCCTGTTGTGCAACTGCACGTTTCTATGTATTCGCACTTATTTTCTGTGTCGCAAATTAAAGGGAAATTCTTATGAAAATGCGGTATTATCGCAATTTCTTGCGCTTTTTGTAGGAACCTAACATTTGCAATTTCTGCTGGAATCGTATTATCAATTGAAAGGATGGAAATATTAGCTCTAAAGTCTTCATTTCCTATGGTCTCTATTTCTCCTTCTCGGATTGTCAGTTCAAATGTGTTTATCGTTTTTCTAGTTTCTAGAGATGCTGTGAGTTGTGCCTTTCCAGGCCATTGTGCGCATTTGTAGGACTTAAAATTTTCGTCTGATGTTGGTTTCGCATACGTTCTATAAAGTAGACATGCTGAAGTTAATGATAGGCAATCGCAGAACCAACCACCGCATGAGCTTGCGCAATAAGATTTTCCTAGATAGGTGTTTGCTTCTTTAAGTTCGGTTATGATGGTCTCAGGTGCAAAAACGTCGCATTTAGTTCCTCTGCAGAGGCTATTTCCTCCACAGCGCTTAACTGATTCTACGTTTAAGCTCACATTTTTCGTGTTTATTACCGTACTTATTATGCATTCGTGGATCGTTTTCTCTACTTTGATCCTGTATTTCGCCACTACCGTACTGTTGCTGGTTATATCTATGCATATTTCATCGGTTAATGGAGTTACAAAAATTTCTTGGTCCGTTTTGATGCTACATCTGTTATTTACGCAACTTTTTTCGTTATGCGTAATTGGTATAGTAATGTCACAGCCTTGGGTTATGGCTAGCAAAGTAAGTAATGTCAATGAAATTTCCTTTTTTGGAAGGACCGTCTTTTTGTTTAAAGTAACGCTATTCCAAGCACTTGAGTTGCTTCCTTCAGTGGAGGCTCTAGATCGGGTTTCGCTTGGTATTTTTAAATTTACGCTCTCGTTACTGACTTTGAAGTGTACGGACAAATTAGGTTTATTTTTGTTGCTTGAATTCCTTAGGTTTTCCACGCCTCGCTTCATCTTTTTGCCAAAAATTAAAGCTATTGCTCCTACCATGATTATTAGAATTATGCCTACGATCATAATTATTATTTCCAATGAATTACAGTGGGGATTGAAAAGTTTTTCAGCGCAAAAGGTACATTTTATCAATGGACAATACGGTTTTGGAGGGCACATTTGTTCAATAATTTTGAATTTGTTGTTGTTTTCTTTTCTCCACACAATTTTGTGTGTATGAATGGTAGCTTGAAAAGGAAAAGCGATTTCTGTGAACTGTTGTGCTGGTAACTCCGTTAAACAGTATTCTCCACTACAAACTTTATAAAAGGTACCTGGTTGGAAGTTTGGGTCGTTGAGAGTGGTAGGTTGGCAGTTGATCGTAGGGAAGCTGTGTACGGGTTGAATGTCTTCTGCTCCTTTGGCTGGGTTTTTATACTCTTTTTTGCGTGGGTTTTGTGTCAGTTGTTTCTTTGGGTCCGATACGTTTCTATTTTGAGCTTCTGATTGTGCGCGCGTCTGTCGCTTTTGCTCTGATTCAGGTAATTTATCAGGATTAGAGCGTGGGTCTGTCTCTTGATTCGAAGGATTTCGAAAATTTTTTGCTATAGTGTCATTACATCGTCTTCGGCAGTGTAATAGTTTAAGAATAGGCCATGATAATTTCTTGATATCGCGGCTGTCTCGTGATTCGGCGTTACAGTAATCCGAGCATGTTTTCCATTCTTCCGGAGTCAGTCCAATTGAATCTATTTTGGAAAAGGACTTATTTGTCAGCTTGGATCCTACGGTTCCTTGAATTAAAAAGCAAATAGTTAGTAGGATGGGCAACTTGAGTGCTAAACGGGGAGCTGTCGTTTTATTGATTTGTTTTATGGATGTTTCTGGGCTAGGTCGTATTTCCAGAGGAATTATTTGATTGAGGGTCCGATTGATGACGTTCGTTGCAGACTCTCTGCGAGGATCTGGGTTGTTTACTCTCAAACTAACCGTTCTCAGTTTTCCATCTCTGGATTCTTTTAGTTCTTCTACTTTAGCTAGCTTCCATTTTTGTCTGGGTTGATTATTATTGATGACTAGAACAATTTCTCCGACTTGAGGTAATTTTTCTTTGCACGTTGCGATATGCTTTTCTCTGAGCTGTACAAAGTTTTTGTTGTCCAATAAGTAGTTCTTTTCCCAAATGGACCAAAATTTCTTTATGTAGCTTTGTACTTCGAGATAGGAGTCTGTGAATTCTTCATATTCGTCTTTTTGTAGGTTGAAAGCGATTGATTTGAATTTTGGCTGTATTAGATCAATTGGTCTAATTACCGTTGTGTTTGGCTCCTCGAGGTCAACGTAGGTGAGCGGTCTTGTGTTGACAATGTGTTCCGCTTGCGCGAGGAAGGTGTCAAACTTGCTCTTTCCTATGATTGTTGATCCTATGGCATGTTTTAGCGCTTTTTTGGCACATGCCACCATTCTTTCAAATACACCGCCTTGCCATGGGGCTGCTGCCGTGTTAAAGAACCATTTAATCCTTTTGAATGCTATTTTTTCTCCGATTTGTTCAAGAGCTGTCTGTTCTGCACAATCTGTCAGAATTTTTGAGGTTAGGACAAATGTGCTTCCATTATCTGAAGTTATTGTGTCCGGGCATCCTCTTCTAGCAATGAATCGGGATAGCGCCAAAAGAAATTCATCTGTTGATAAGTTGTAAACTGTTTCCAAGTGAATCAATCTTGAAGCCATGCATGTGAATAAGGCGACATAAACTTTCGTTGTTTCAAATCGACTCATCTTCATTTTAAGTGGCCCGAAAAAATCCACTCCTATGTGTTGAAAGGCTCTTTCTGATTGGTTGATTCGTCGTGACGGAAGGTCTGGTGCCTCCGGCATTTTGTAAGGTCTGTTGTTGGCTTTTCTACAAAGAATGCACTTTTTCAATGTATTTTTAACGCCTTGTCTTAGATTTTTTCCTGCATATTTTTGAAAGAGAATTCCGAGAGTTGTGTTTACTCCGGCATGCAAGTTTTTCTCATGGATGTCGCTGATTATAAGTTCTGCCAAACGAGAGTTTGCTTTTATCACAATTCTATTGTTGTAGTCTTCAGTTTTGAAGTTTCCTAATCTCATTTTTAGGTAGACTAAGTCATCCTCCTTCTGAATCCATGCATTTTGACTCAGTTCTTTGATGGCGAACTCTTTTTGGTGCTGGCGTAACAAAGTTTTTTCTGCTGTTTCCAAATCTTCCCATTGGATTGCATTTGTTTCGCTCATATTTGATAATTTCTGGAATGGCTGATATCAGTTTATTAATTTTATTTTCGTCTGTTAGCTTTTTTTAAGAACTTTTAATCTGATGAATTTTAAACAAACTATTACCGCTTTCAAAACTTTGTCGTATTTGTTGGAAAATTTTAGGTTGAAATCTGATTGAAACGCGTCTGCTTTTTGCTGAGAAACCTGGTTTACTGTAGCTATGTTTCGCGATTGCTCTTCCTCTTTCTCTGGCTCGATCTCGAAGCTGAGAGCAGATGTCCATGATTTATTTTCGTTTTTCAACCAGGGGGGTCCTTCGAACCAATTGCTCGATATCAATTGCTCTTCTGTTGTAAAACCACGTGTGGCGTGGTCCGCCGGATTTTCTGTTGTCACGGTGTGAAGAAGGGTAATATCAATTTGTCTATCCTTAATCCTTCGCGCTCGTTCCCAGATTTCCCGCACGCGATTCTCGACAAATATCCTTTCCTTCTCTTTTCTGAGGATCCAGAACAGGGAGATCATTGAATCGGTGAAAACCCAACATTTGCGAAATTTTATGTGATAAAGTTCATTAATAATATATTCTGCCATTCTCATTCCAATCAAAATTCCTAAAAGCTCTAGGCGAGGGATTGTGACTTTTACTTTTTTAGGAGCGATTCTTTGTTTAGCAAAAATTAGTCGGCAACTAATTCCTTTTTCGGTAATGATTCTTAAGTAAGCGGCTGATGCATACATACTTTCGGATGCGTCCGAGAATATAACCAGTTCAATAGACTTGGTTTTATCTTTAGGAATAGCCAATCTGGGTATTAGAAGATTGCACTTCTCTATTGTCTTCTGAAAAGACTGAAATTCTTTTACGTGATTTGCTGCTATCACATCGTCCCATTTTGCTGTGGGATTTTCGAAAAGTTTTGGTAATAAAAGTTTTCCCTGAACGTATAAAGGCGCAAATAGGCCTATTGGGTCAAAAATTCCTGCGATGTACCGTAGGACTTCTCTTCGAGTAATATCTACGTGCTCCATGCTCTGGGGAATTTTTACCTTTAATTTATCAGTAGCCGTGTTCCATTGGTAACCTAACAGTTTTTGAGTTTCTGCTTTGCTCAAGTCTTCCTTCGGGATTTGTTTTTGAATTCTTGGGTCATTACTTGCATATTCCCTCAGGTTCATGCTAATATTTTTGAAAAGTTCTTTGCTTTCTTTATAAAGACCTTCTGGTCGTTCTTCATTATCGTACATCATGAAAATGTTATCCACGTATAAATTGTGGTCGACTGCTTCGGTTACTCGGCTTTTTTCTTTCATTTGTTCCACATAATGTTTAATGCTAGCTGCCAATAGAAATGGGCTTGCATTTACCCCAAAAGGTATTCTTGTGAATCTCATTGTTCTCACGTTATTTTCTTCAGTAGGTTTGGTGGGGTTTTTGTACCAAAAGAATCTGGTACAATCTCTGTCTTCTTTTTTCAATGTAATTTGGTGGAACGCTTTTTCAACGTCTGCTATCAGCAAGTTTTTTGCTGTGAAGCTTCGTAAGATGATTCCTACTAAGTCGGGTAAAATGACTGGTCCTTGGTGGATTGCGTCATTCAAGGAGTATTTTCCTTTCATATGTGCTGATGCGTCGAAGACTATTCTGGCTTTAGTTGTGTTTGAGGTCATGTTTATGACAATTTGATACGGTATGTAATAGTGAGGACTTCCTGGGACCGAATTTTCCTCTGTTACTTCTTCTATGATGCCAGCTTCTTCGTGTTCTTTGAAATTTTTCACAATTTTGTCCCAATTCTCCCAACATTTTGGGGAATTTTTCTGTTGTATAAATCTTCGCCACGCTACTGGGCGATTGTCATGGAGGTTTTCTTTTTTACCGTCTTTCCAGGGCCATGCCACTGTGATTTTTCCACTGGAATCTATGTTAACATTCGATTTGAAGTGTTTCATAACTTCTTCTGTTTCATTATAATCGCTGCGGTCGGTAATTCCGATGCCGCTTAGGTCCATCATATCTTCAATAGTTTTATTGATATTTTGTGCTGTCATAGCACGAGTCATAACTGGATACTCCTGGTGAGTCCAGACTTGTCCGCATACTAGATGGCCTAGTGAACTAGGGACTGCCACCATCCCGGAAGGTAGGTTTATCATATTTTTTGGTCCATTTATAAATGTCCAAAATAGGTCCATGCCTATAAGCAATTGAGGTGAGTCTTCCTCACTCTCTTCTAATTTATCCTCCATTATACCGTTTTCTAGCATCTTTTCTCTATCTTTGTCCATAAGTTGTGGTTGATTCACCGATATGGTGATGCTAGGCGTGGTAAACGCTTTTATTCCTACCAATATGTTTTCTTTCGTCTCAATGTATAACTGCACCCGATCCGCGGGTGAGTCTATGGGTTTCTGACCAAAAACTGCCAATTTCAATGGACAGTTCTTCTGAATTATTTGGAGTTGCAGGGCTTCCGCTGCTTCCTTTGTTATAAATGTTGTGTCCGATCCTGTGTCTAGCAAGATTTTTGCATTCAATCCTATCTTTGGGGCTTCTGGTTTGTTCCATATTTTACCTTGAGCTATCATCAGATTGCACTGTGTGCTTACCATATTTTGTCTGGCATAAATGACTTCTGGTTTTCTAGGTGATCTCGTGAAATTGTTTACTTTTTCTTGATCTCTTGTACCGTTAAATTGGTTTCCTGAGCGTTGTTCTTGACTCTTTTGTCTATTGCAGAGTGCTGAATTGTGGGTACTTTTGCAGAACTTGCAGCTCATTTTCGAATAACAATCTTTCAACATATGTCCAGGTTTCAAGCATTTCAGACAAAGCTGTTTTTCCTTCGCTTTTCTTTGTCGAGCATTTCCGTCAGGCACTGTTTTACATTCGTAAAATTGATGATTGTTTCTGTCGCAGAAGACACTTATTGTTATTTCTGAATTGGTTCTGCGGATTTTTTCCTTTTTCGTTGTGTTTCTGGACAGTGAAAGTGTGCAATGCCATTTCTTGACGCGAACTAGTTCCTCTATTGACCTTTTCTTGCATTGAAATTATGGATTCGATGTCATCTAGCATCATGTCGATATAACTGTAACCATGGCATGTGTGTTCTGCTTCTAATCTTGCTAAGTTGGTGAGTAGCCACTTTGGGAATTTGTATCGAATTTCGTTCAAAAATGGAGCTGAATCGACGTTCTGTTTTACGTTTTTCAAGCCGTGAATTAAGATAGCGCAGTTGTTGAAAGTGTTTCTGCAACTAATTATATTGTCTTTTGCATAAGGCAATTTTTTCAGCTTTTCCCACAGTGTATCGAATTGGGTAGTTTCGTCTCCATATGTGTCATGTAGCCTTTTTATGACTTCTGGGTACGAATCTCCGGTCTGTGGGTATCTTTTGATGAGCTCAAGCGCTCTTCCTTTACAGCTGCTCAAAAGGGCTGCAAATTTTAGAATGTCAGCTACGTTTTGTCGATGAACTAATGTTTCAAACATTTCCCAAAATGGTAACCAATTTTCTTGTTCTCCATCAAACTTTGGAATTTCTAGTGAATGATTGTGAGCTAAAAGCTTTGTTACATCTACCGTAGGCGTGCTATTGGTTTGGTTGTTTGTTGTCGACTTGCGTGTAGTGTTTTGCGTTCTATAGGGATTTGGTTGAGCTTGTCTGGGGTTGGTGTTTCGAGGATTACTGTTCGTGGATGCTGTACTGCCTCCTGGGTCGTCATCATCGTCTGTTTCTGCTTCTACTGCTCTTGGGAAAGTTTCGTTTGCGTCTTCGTTTTTGGTTTTTTGTTCCTTCCTTCTTAAGGCTTCTGTTAGTTTTCTCGAAGATTCGTCCCAGGATGAATCCTTATTTATCGCAAAATCTACGCTTTTCAATTGTATATCGAATTCTTCAGCGACCGTGGCTATTTCTGCGTATCGCTGTTTCAAACTTATTAACGTTTTGGATGCTTTTTCATAGAATTCTGTTATGACTCTGCCTAAATTGATGTCTTTTAGCACTTCTTCGTCGATTTTTTCGCTTGGAATTCTTCTTGCTTCTGCTCTACATTTCTTGACACACTCATCTAATACTTGCGCTTGTTGTTTAATTAGATCAACCTGAGTCTGGATACTTTCTGCGTCTTGTTCGATTTGGCTTACAATCTGTTCGCTGGTATGCCGTTTTGTATCGTATTTAGGAGCGGTCTTATGAGCATTCACTATCATGGAAAGACATTTTTGGCACGAGGTTACTACTGCGACATAGTTTTTCTGAATATCATAAGCCATTTGCTCTAAAGCTTGTAATAGTTTTTCTGGTTCGTCTTCCATTTTTGAACTATGTTTCTGATTAAATAAATTCTTTCAGGTTTATGGTACTTCTGATTTCTGATATCTCCTTTCGGGTGTTAGGTTTTGAGTCCCTCAGACTGTATAAAATTCCCACAATAGGGCCTCTGTTTTGAGTCCTTCAGACTGTATAAAATTCCCACAATAGGGCCTCTGTTTTGAGTCCTTCAGACTGTATAATTTCCCGTCGATAGGGAGGACGGACGAGTTACGGACGGACAAGTTTTACCTTTGATTGTGAGACGAATTGCAATTCGCACCGCCGGCCGGTGTTGGAATTGCTGTAGTTAGTTCTCTTGAACTAAACTACTTTGGATCCTACAGCGACGCTCCACACTTGGGAGGAGTCCTGTCAATTTGACGTCTAGTAATTCAACTGCGGTGGTCAGTCGCAGAGGTGATTGAGGACTCAGGACTTGCACCCTATCCTATCAATCTAAGCGCTCTGGTCTATTTAGACCTAAAAACTTTTTCTTGAGGGGGAATTTACTAATTTACGCCTTAACTAAACTAAGCGCAGCTCGAGATATTTCCGAAAATTGTTTTAGATCCGAAAATTTGGCGGCTTTAAGTTCTTAAATTGGCCGATGCACCATAAATTTGTGGCGTCTCTTTATTAGCTGTGAGGCTAATTCGAAGGCGCTTCAATTGAGTGGTTCAGTGGTTTTGAGTTTAGAATGCTTTCTTGTGCGTTTATCTGCGAGCTTGAATTTATAAGTAGTTTATTAGTCAAGTGGCAAATTAAAGTAAATATAAGAGGGGGAAAAAGGGGGAATAAATGGGATAAAAGAAAGAATAGAAAAAGTGGTTGCAACGGCTCTATTGAGCCGACCAGAGCTTTTTATAGTCTCTGAAGAAGGTGGGGTTTAGTGTATCATTTCGAGTAGTTTCGAAATGATTTCGTGGGCGATCCATCGGTTTGAGCTGCTTCGTCGGTGATCAATCTTTGGAGATTTCGTAAGATTGCGAGAGGGGTTTATATTTAGATCTAGTCGGGTAGATTTGGGTAATTAATCAATGCTGAGTCATGGCAGTGATTGCGAAAGATTCCATCTCTTTCGTGATCTTTATGTTAAGAAAAGAATAGTTTCTCGCGATCCGCGATACTGAGGTTCGCTTTTGATCCAACCTTTGGACTTCAAATTTTCTGTTGCAGGTTACGAAATACGAGCATTGTGAAGGGAAAGCTTCAAGTCTTCATACAATGCCGCACGACTTCATTTACCAACAGAATCTCGCGACGACTCTTTTAGATAATCTCGCAGTGACTGATTTGACTGTTCTAACCTCCTTCATTTTAAAAGTATTTTGAGAACGAAATTTGTTTAATTTGCTAAAATGCTTCCAAAGCAATCTGATCGTAACCAAAAAAAAAATCGAACTTTGTTTTTTAGCCTTGTTATGGCTTACCTTTGACATGAATTCTTTCACTCAAACAAAACTTATTATATATTCAAAGCGCCGTACTCGGTTCAAAGACGCAAGTCGATTAATTTTTTTATTTTATTGCGATGAGCGTACTCTAAGAAGCATCTCAGCTAAGTTTTTAAAGTTATTGAGATGAAACTTCGTTTTTTCGTTTTTTTTTACTTCCGTTGTTATAATAGATTTTTTTCTCGTTGATTAATTTAGTTTTGTATTTTTATCCGTTCGAATTTCGAAATTATATTTATTTATGTGTCAGTTCACTTTCCTTCAAATTCTAGTTTGGTTAAAGTATAAGTGTTTTTGTTTTCTTATGTTTGACTTCATTGACTTCATTATTATGTGTACCTCATCTCGATAGAATGTTTAAGTCGTACATGCATTTTAAAGAAAATAAATTAATATTATTACTTGATGTGTGATGCTATTCCTGCGAGCTGAAAGCGCAAAGGTTGTCTGTATTTTTGTCAAACCATTGCTATTTTTGCCCTCTGATCATATGGAATCAGAAAGTGAAAGCATTGTTTAGACAAAAATACCGACGACCTTTAGGCTTTCCAGCTCAAAATACAACCAAAAAAGCAAATGTGAAAAGAGAAGGAAGTGTGCCCTATATAGTCTGTTCAGATTTTGAATGTCAAGCAGCTCGCTCCTCCCACAAGCTACAGTCAGTTTTCGCGTCGATACATTTCCGCGCGTGAAGATGTTCCTTTAATAGTAGCACATTTTGTTGATTTTTTTACACTAATAATTCATTTTTTATTTTGCTGTTTTCTCGATATCCCTTAATTTCTCAGTACGCTTTTTCATATTGTTTCCGAATATAGTGTACCGCATTTCAACGATGAACAATTCGATTTTTGTAAATGCGACGTCGCATTAAAAAGTTTTTTTTACTGTTCTAAAGAAGTGAAAGATTCTACCCTGTGATAATTTATGGGCATTTTTTTCTTCCGATGAATTCAAACGGAAACTTTTTCATGAATAAAAAAATATTTTTTTGAAAGTGGTTTGAAAAATATGGTTGTATTAAAAGTTTTTTTCTCCTGTTAAACAACATTTAATTATTTTCATCGCTCGTTTTTGTTTGATTGGTGGTTTTTTTCAGACACAATTTTTTTGACAGGAAAAAGAAAAACAGGAATCTTCACGGATTTTGTCACATTCGGTGAGTGTTTGTTTATAATTTCCGCTTTTTTTGCGTTTTTCAGGGGCAAAGGATTGTGCGCGTGCTTCCTTGCGCATTGAAGAATGATGAAAAAGAGCGGTTACTCGATCGTACCTGGAAGTTTAAGTTCAAAGCTAAGTTTTCATTCTATTTTTTTTGTGACAGAGCTTTGTTCAAACAATTTTAGAAACTTCCAATTATGTAGTCGGTCGGTTTCCCTCTGCGACACTGTTGAGCCGACAGGAACGATTTCTCATTCCAACAGCTCTACACGACGGTTTTTCATTTTTGTATAAAATAATTTTCTTTTAGTTGATTTTTTTGCAATGAGGTAATTGTCCAAATTGTCGCAGTTTATATTTTTCAAACATATAAATGAGTTGGATAAACTATTTAAAAATCTTTGGGACATGTAAAAAAAAACGCAATATTGGGTTGGGCTTCAAAGATGACTTAATCAAGGTCACTCTCGTTGGAGTCCTCAGAACTGTCGTCGAGAGGATTTTGATTTTGAAGAATGTGAGCCAACGGAGGGAATAACATGGATTGCACAACATGAAGCGGAAACTCCGCTTCAAACGCTTCTTCTTCTTCTTTTTCGCAGTGTTTAATCCATTTCTTGGCCAAATCCGGTTGAACGCCTTTCAAATAATCCAAAGCTCTTGTACGAACCTAAAATATATTTTTCAATGTTTCGAAGGATTTTTTTTTCATCAGAAATGACAAATTTACCGTCTCGATGTCGTCGTGAGTGGTTCCTTCGGAACAAAGGGCATGCTTGAGCTGGCTCCAAGTCAGCTCAATTGGATTGTAACAGCAATGGTATGGCGGTAGGCGCACAACGTCGATGTTGTGTTCTGCGCACATCGCGTCAACCTCAACGCGTGTGAATTTCTCAGCTCCCTCGTCAACCAGAAATTTCTCGATGATATTCCAAAGAATAGCTTTGGTCAGTTTTTTCGACGTAGGAAAAGGAACAGGGATAAAATTATCATCAATAAAATCCTCCATTTCTTTTTTCGAAGACGTTTTGGTGGGAGGCTAAAATTATTTATGATTTCAGAAAGTGTTTAAACTGCTCACCTTGATGGACACACGGCTGTGGTAAGACGCATTGTCCATGACAATGACCGGAGTTCGTCCGTTTGCCGCTTGGAGAATGGCTGGGATCATGTCATCGACGTACGTCTCAAACACTTCGGAAGTCATTTCGCGGTGATAGTCGGCTAATGGCTCTTTATGACCGCTCATGAAAGCCCTTTCTGAGCCAGGTAGGACTCCTTCTTCAGTCAGCATAGCCATAATGATGATCCTTTTTCCTTTGTTTTTCCCTGCCCTTGGACCAGGAGCCGGAGCGTTGAGGTCGCGGCACTTGTCCCATTTGTCGACGTTTCTGCAAGTCCATCCTCTCGCTTTTGTCATCCCTTTGAACGCCCATGTCTCATCAAGGAAGACGAAGAAATGGCCCTTGCTGCGGCGCTCTCGCATTTCTTGAAGGAAACGCCTTCGCCAGGCCTTCAAGTCGGGACGTTCGAAGATTTCCGGATCGTAGTCTTTCTTCTTATAGGAGTATCCCATTCCTTTCAGAACTTTATACAACGTCGTTCTCCCTATATCGAGATCTGGCCTCATTTCGCGAACTTTTTCCAAGACATGATTGATCGTGATATTGATCTCTTCTTCGAAAGATTTCGCCATGAGCTCTCGCACGAAATTCCGAGCTGGTAAGTCGAAGCGCATCAGGGCTGCTTCGTAGCTTTCTTGACGACTGATGGGATGCCGTGGGGCTCGCGGGGTCTTCTCTGCTTTTTTTGCCCGTTTCAATGACCGCGTTGCAACTCCCAGGAATTTCGATGTTACAACTTCAGGTCTAGCCAGAGGAGAGTTTTTGACGACTTCGGGAAACTCGTCCGCTAATTTAGAAAAAAACTTTGAGATTCGATTGGCGATAAACAAGCCACGGTTTTCGATAGGGGTTTTTCTGCTGATTTTATCGTTTGGATCCTCCAAGGTGCTCCAATCAAAATCCAGGACAGCATCAGCGAAAAGCTCGAGGTTATTTTTTTCCTAGATCAAAAAAAAAGTGAAAATACTACTGAACAACGTACTTTTGGCACTTGAACTGCCTTTTCTTCCATCTCAATCCCTTTACTCTCTGTTTGAATCTCACAATTAGCCACAGGAACGGGCTTGGCACGTATCAAAATAACCTTCCTTGGTGTTGAGGGCATCTTATAATAATTAGATCGGAGCTCGATTATTTGAAAAATCAAATAAATCCAATTCCTATCTTGCATCACAATTTTTTTAAATAAAACTCGTTGAATGTGCCAAAATGTTTCTTTTTCGCCCTCACTTCACTCTTTTTGGCTCTTTCTAGTGAGCTCCAAATCTATTTTTGCGCCTTTTAATCCACAGACAAGAAAAATATGAAGATAAAATAGTTTATTGATAATTGCAATTTTTCGTAAGTTGATTTGAGTCGAACCGTCTTGCCTCTGACTCGCGAAGACACACTTGTTAATCCTCAACGTTAATACCTCAAAAAATCTCTTAAATGCGTGTAAATAAACACAATCACTCACTCAATATGCCTCTTGTACTTAAAATTTATAGTCTTCATCGGTAGGAAGTTGAAGACAAAAAATTGAATCATCTTGCTTTTGAAAAAACTGGCCGTTCGGATAGTTTAGCTGACTGTGCGATTTCCTGAATTCATGTTGCAAAAATCACTTTCACCCGTGAAAAGTATAATGAAAACTAAGCTTTGAAATTGAAATCTCAAGTCTGACTCATACTCATTTCCGTACGGACACCTCAATATGCGGAAATGTGTTGTCGATTTAAAACGGAACGTCTAAGATACTTCTCTGAAAAAAAACTTGTTATTTTCTTTGAAAAAATGAAAAACCGTCGTGTAGAGCTGTTGGAATGAGAAATCGTTCCTGTCGGCTCAACAGTGTCGCAGAGGGAAACCGACCGACTACATAATTGGAAGTTTCTAAAATTGTTTGAACAAAGCTCTGTCACAAAAAAAATAGAATGAAAACTTAGCTTTGAACTTAAACTTCCAGGTACGATCGAGTAACCGCTCTTTTCATCATTCTTCAATGCGCAAGGAAGCACGCGCACAATCCTTTGCCCCTGAAAACGCAAAAAAAAAAGCGGAAATTATAAACAAACACTCACCGAATGTGACAAAATCCGTGAAGATTCCTGTTTTCTTTTCCTGTCAAAAAATTGTGTCTGAAAAACCACCAATCAAACAAAACGAGCGATGAAAATAATTAAATGTTGTTTAACAGGAGAAAAAACTTTTAATACAACCATATTTTCAAACCACTTTCAAAAAATATATTTTTTATTCATGAAAAGTTTCCGTTTGAATTCATCGGAAGAAAAATGCCCATAAATTATCACAGGGTAGAATCTTTCACTTCTTTAGAACAGTAAAAAAAACTTTTTAATGCGACGTCGCATTTACAAAAATCGAATTGTTCATCGTTGAAATGCGGTACACTATATTCGGAAACAATATGAAAAAAAGCGTACTGAGAAATTAAGGGATATCGAGAAAACAGCAAAAATAAAAAAATGAATTATTAGTGTAAAAATCAACAAAAATGTGCTACTATTAAAGGAACATCTTCACGCGCGGAAATGTATCGACGCGAAAAACTGACTGTAGCTTGTGGGAGTTGCGAGCTGCTTGATATTCAAAATCTGAACAGACTATAGGACTGTCGCGCCCTTAAGCGCCTACTAAACCGGCACCAAAGCCCTTTAAAGCGCGCGTTCGCGCGGTTTTGGGCGCTTTTAGTGGGCGCTTAGTCGCCTCCCAGCATAGAGCTTATAACTAGAGTTCTCAAAACCAAACGTTCGACCAAACATTTTCGAACAAATGTTGAAACCAAACTTTTGGTTAAAGTTTGCTTTTGAACGTTCTACCAAAATGAACGTTCATTTTCCGTTCGTAAAAAAGTTCGTTCAAAAAATGAACGTTCATTTTTCATTTCCAAAAAGTTCGTTCAAAAAATGAACTGTTGTGTATATAGAATAAAAGATAACGTGGGAGATAAAACCACTATATAAAGAGCGGTCTCACAGGCTCTGAACAATCGCCTCACCGCTGCACCGGAGTCGGACGATGACATGCCGGAGCACGACAGTACCCCGCCCTCGGCCGTTGCCTCTACTACTTGACTCTTCATCTTATTTGCTTACCATTGAATAAATGATGTAAGCAGTTCTGGATTCAGTATGATTGTACACATACTTAAAAGTCTCATCCTGATCGCCACCACGCCACTTTTAAGTATGTGTACAATCATACTGAATCCAGAACTGCTTACATCATTTATTCAATGGTAAGCAAATAAGATGAAGAGTCAAGTAGTAGAGGCAACGGCCGAGGGCGGGGTACTGTCGTGCTCCGGCATGTCATCGTCCGACTCCGGTGCAGCGGTGAGGCGATTGTTCAGAGCCTGTGAGACCGCTCTTTATATAGTGGTTTTATCTCCCACGTTATCTTTTATTCTATATACACAACATGAACGTTCATTTTTCATTTCCAAAAAGTTCGTTCAAAAAATGAACGTTCATTTTTCATTTTCAAAAAGTTCGTTCAAAAAGTGAACGTTCATTTTCCATTTCAAAAAAGTTCGTAGACGCCATTATAGATAGCACCCCCAAAAGCCTCCTCTTGGCGCATTCCGCGTGCGTGCGCGCGCCAATTCAAATTTCGTCTCTTGAACTAGATTTACAGGCTTCCAGTATATGGTTTTTTTTGAATAATTTTTCTTGCATAAAAAAACTTCCAATTAATTTTACACGGGTATCATATCTATGATAACTGGATATACGGGCAGAGTACCTGAAATTTTTGATTGCTACCGAGTAGCCTGGAAATGCTTCCCAGGTTTTTATTATTATTATTTTTAGTCATTTCGGTTTTCTAATTTTTATTCATTCTGTTTTCAGACTTCCTTTGAAATTTGTATAAGCTGTACACGTTGTTCTCTATTCGCTCATGAGAAACGAAGAATGAATTTTCAGCAGCAAATTTCCTTATCATGCGAGGAGCTTTGAAAAATCGTATCTCCGCTCAAAAACTTTTCCAAAAAAAAACTTTTTTCACGGACCTCCGCGGCATTTTTTGAGAACAGATTTGGAAACAGCATGAAAAAAACTTCATTTAGTGGACTGGGTCTCATTCTGAAATCCAACTGCGACTAGACACCATTCCCTGGTCAGCTAGAGCTAAAAATTTATGCTCGACGTCTCACGATGGACATATTATGGAATATTCAAGATTCTTTTTAAAGAGGTATATTTGTGGGCACATTATGGTACCTTCCCCATTTGCCTGTGCAAGTGAGTGAAGGCGAAAAATTTGAATTGGCGCTAAAACAAGAAAAAAACTTTCTTAAATAAAGTTAGATTCCCTAAATGAGTCAATATTAAATAAAAATAAAAAAACTGGAAATGAATAAGTAAGAAAAAAATTATACAAAAAAAGAACCATATACTGGAAGCCTGTAAATCTAGTCCAAGAGACGAAATTTGAATTGAGCGCGCACGCACGCGGAATGCGCCAAGAGGAGACTTTTTGACTTTTGGGAGTGCTATCTATAATGGCGTCTAAAGTTCGTTCAAAAAACGAACGTCCGTTTTTTTATGTGAAAAGCAAACGTTCATTATTATAAGAAAACGATTTTCGAACTTTTTGGTTGAACGTTTGAAAATGATATATCCTAAACTATCGAAAAATGAAAAAGTTCATTTTTTTCAAACGGTCATTTTTTGAACGTTCGGTTTTGAGAACTCTACTTATAACGGCTGACTGAGGAAAAAAATTCTGAAAAAACAGCCGCCATGACATTTTTGCGCGCCGTGGCAAACTTTTTAGTACCTCGGACCTTGGTAACACCGGAAGCGGTTCGGAGCGTTTCTAGTGATACCTTTAGTAGCACCCTTAAGGGAGATCTAGATCTTTCACAGAAGTATGGTTTTCGCTACCGAGATCCGAGACAAAGAAGGATCTACAGGGAGACATCAAGATTCGATTTTCAGCGGTTTTCCGTTGGCGGCCACAGTTCGAATAACGAAATTTCGTCGACAATCGCCGGTTCCTCCAGCCGCTTCTAAATCCATCGACAAAGGCTTTTTTTTTGGCCTGTCTTGTTATTTTTGTTATTTGTTTTGATTCAACGGTGTTTTTTATGTACAACATAAACCCCGTGAAGGTATGAAGAATTGTTTGTAAACTTGAACCTTTATTGATTGAAAATTGATCTGGTCATCGAACCGGTTGATACTTGAACCTCTCGAGGCAAGTTTTCTATGTTCCGCATTTTTTGAATAATCTGGAGAAAGTGTGAAAATTCTTAAAGTTTTTCCAACGATAAAAGTATACCAAATTGCGTGCTTTTCTGGGAAATAACTCATTATCACTGTGAAAAGAAGCTCCAGAATTTGATTTCTGATTCAAATTTCTAACCTTTATGTAGGTACCGCAAGCGTACTTTTCAAAACCATTCAATTCGCATGATCTTGGTGTCAAACGACAGCTTGAGATGTCCATTTCATTATATCAATAGAGTTTTAAAAAAAAAAGATGGAAAAAAAAGTTTAAAGGAAAAAAAGAGGCGAAAAACGAAAAATTTTGTGAAGGATGGCAAATTCTCACAGTTTTTTTAAAGGCGTGTCTGCAAAAACCATGCGGCGCCTTTGCATAATTGTGTGGAATTACGCTGTTGAAAAAAAGAAATCGGGTTTTTTTGATAAAAAAACATTATATTTTCAACCTTTTTCAGAGATTTTTTTCAAAATGAATATCACGAGTTGTTCTCACACGATGTTAGAAGACCCGAAACAGCACGCTCTTTTTCTTATTAAAACATAATTCAGTCGTCAAATTCACAATTGTAGAAAGTTATAAAGGTTTCACGGCGTTTTTTTATTACGCAAGGTCAAGACTTCTCGTAAATTATGATGTTTTAGGGTGTAAGCACACCGAGACGCACTATCGCATACTCAAAATTGTTTTTTTCAATTTTAGAATTTGCAATTTTAGGATAATAACTTCTGAAATGTTCGAAATCTTGTCAGTTTGAAGATTATGATGTGAAAAACATTCACTTGCGTTAAAAATTTAGGAACGATTTCGGAAGGGGAAAAACTCTAAATTACTGATTACAAAATGAAAACAAAAAAATATTATGAAGGTGAATCAGCTCTCATTGAATAAGCAATTGTAAATACGAAAAAAATATTGAAATGAGGAAAAATTCGAGGAGCAAATAAAAAAGAAATATTTTTATATACCTTGAAAAACCTAGCTTCAGAAAAAAACAAATAATGGATAGGAAGCAGAAATTTTCAGAAAAAACCTCGTATGGCGAAATGTTTGTTTAAATTCGAAAAAAATCATCAAAAAAACTAGAAAAAAATTATATAATTTAGATGATTCATATAACAAAAATCTTCAAACAGCATCAGCAAATTCAATTTGGCTCTAATTTACACAAAAACCGGTTTCAAACTACGTCAAAAAGAACTGGATAATAAATTTGGTTATAGAAAAAAACGTCAAACGAAGTAATAATGAAGTAAAAAAACCAAAAAAATATGCTTTTTGTCATCATTTTTTTCATCATTTATTCAATACGAATAATAATACAGTTCAAGGGCCGAAAAAGACCTCTAACAGAACCAATTTTTAAAAAGGGAAATTTAAACATTGAAAAACAGCAACAAATCGTTTAAAAAGTTAGAAGATATTTTAAGAAAGTCAGCGAGAAGATGAGGGTTGTTTTTCTAAATAGATTTTTGAATCGCATAGAATCATTACATAGATCAAATACAACATCGGGAAGGGAGTTCCAAACATTAATTATTCTGATACTAAAAAACGAGGCAACGATGTTACTATTATGTCTTATATTTGAACGTAAATAATAGCGATGGCGACGCAGCGCACGGACACGGGGGAAAAAGAAGAGACTATCGAAATCAATGGGGACTTCTCTAAGTACAATTTTATAAACAAGAGACATGTCAAAGATGAGGCGTCTTGTCTCAAGAGTTTTGAGACTATTTTCAGATAAACAAGTGAAATAAGAGTGGTAGGGCAAGCCGCAACGATGGTAAGCTCGGAAAAGGAAACTTTTCTGAACACCTTCAATCAAACAAATATTGTGAGAGTCAATTGGAGCATAGACTACAGAACAATAATCAATAATAGGACGAATATACACTTCAAAGCATTTTAAATACAATGAAAGCTCAGTGGATCGAAACACGTTAAACATAACATTTATGCGACATTTACACCGTCTGCAGATTTCAGATATATGATCATTGAACTTAAGGTTATTTGAGAAAGCTACACCAAGATCTCGAACTGAAAGTTTAGGCTGTAAAAGCCATGTTTGAAATTTTATAAGAAATATTTGGGTTACGTTTTTCCGAAATGAATAGAAAAAGCATTTAGTTGGAGCTATAGCCATTTGCCATGTTGAACACCAGTTTTCAAGTAATTTGAGGTCTTCTTCGATGACAGTAGAACTAGAGGTTTTTGTGAGCGAAGAAAAAATTTTTAAATCGTCAGCATAGAGAAGGGGCGCAGAGCGAAAGTTATCCGTAATGTCGTTAATAAAAAGTAGAAACAGAAGGGGTCCGATGACCGACCCCTGGGGTACGCCGGAGAGTACAGGAGCGGGGTCGGAAAGTACTCCAGAAAGAGAAACACACTGCACACGATTCGTCAAGTAGGATTCGATCCAGCCAAGAAGAGGACCACAAATGCCGTAAAAATTGAAGCTTGTAAACAAGTTTAGCATGAGAGACAGTATCAAAAAGCCTTGCAAAAGTCAATATAGATAGCGTCCGTGCAAAGGTTACTGTTTGCATTTTTCAAAAAGATTTGCACAATATTGAATTAGTTGAATAGACGTGTTATATTTAGGGCGGAATCCAAATTGGTTAGAGTTTAACAAAGAGTTAGAGTTGAGAAAAACGCTGAAATCATGCACAACTATTTTTTCAAGACATTTGCAAACTGAACTGGTTAAACTAATTGGACGGTAATTTGAAGGGTCAGATCTACTTCCTTTTTTTGTGTAAGGGTTTGATAATGGCTTTTTTTCCAAACAGATGGAATTTGACCAGATCGGAGAGAGGCGTTAAAAAAATAATAGAAAGAGGATAGGCGAGAGATGTGGAACAGTTTTTTTGAGCAAAATGGAGGGATTTCATCCGGAGTAGTGTTACATTTAGAGGGCATTCTACGAAGAAAAAAGCTTCTATTCTGTGCGCTGGGAGATCTATGACAGATAAACGGTTAGATGTTTTAGAAACACATGGCGGAGTTTTTTTCCGTCATCGATTGTGAAAAAAATGAATGAAATTTTGTAGATAAGAGGTTAGCTTTTAGCGAAGTTGCAGGTAAGTGCCTCTCCATCAGAGGTTTTTTTAGAACGTTGATATCATCCTCAGACTGACCACTCAGAAGTTTGGCATGCTTGAAGAAATTGTGTTGATTGCCTTTTTGAACTAGGTCTTTTTCTCTTTGGATCCGCAAGGACCAAGTAAGTTTGGAAATTTTTTTGGAAATTTTTTTATAAAGATCGGAGTTTCCCTCTCTTCTCCAAACCAAAAGCTTTTTTCGCGAGAGAGAACGAATGATATGGGAGAAAGGTTTGTTGGCTTTTATATTTTGAATGGGAACAAAAGCTTCTACAAAACTGTGTATTAAAGAGCAAAAATTGTCGTACATTTTTTCAACTGAAAGTGTAGAAAATATGAGGTCCCAGTCCAAAGAGGCAATGTGACTATTGAGGGAATGAAAATCTGCTTTTTTGTAATTTTTAAAGCTTTTGACAGATTTTTCAATATTTTTAGAAAGTGTTGAAGTAATTATAATACTGCAGTGATCACTAAATAAATCACCGACGTAGGCTTCCTGGACAATGTTAGTGCTAGTGAGGCAAAGATCAAGAGTATTATCAGGATTAAATCTAGTAGGCGATGTTATATGTATTTAACTCTTTCCGTAAATCTTGCGAGAGCTTTAAAGGGTGGGTATTGTAATCCAAAAACGGGTCCTGAACAGACCAAAACTACTGCTGCCGTACGATTTACGGCGCCCGCCCCTGGTATTTTTTTTCTGCATTTTCTTTCACTGACAAGAACGCCGTGGTTTCAAACTTCACTAACTTTTTGAAATGAAAGTTTAACAAACTTTTTTTCACGGGTATTGAGCATATCACAGCAAAAAAACGATAAATTGAACAAATATTTCGATAGATGAAATATTGAAAACTGGTAGACAAAAGTTCCATTGCAAAAAAAAAATAGATAAGAGGAAATTCAACGAAATAATAAAAAATCAAGAACAAAGAAGAGTAAAATTTATTCAATTTCAAAAAAAAACATCAATCAAGAATCCACTCGCTTGGTCACAGGTTGGTAAGTCGCACCACTTTTTCATCAGTTTTTGATTGAATTAGGGCACTTATTCATGCCAACCTGTGTGCAGTCTACACGAACGAGCACGTGGAGTGGTTGTAGACCTTTTTTTACAGGAATAATTTACAAGATATCAGTAGAACATGTAACGTAGAACGAGTTTTTCATCTAAAATCTAAAAGCGAAATGAATAATAAATTAACTGAACATGAAAAGGGAGAAACTATCACTTTCACCACACTGAAAGATATATTTGCAATAAAAAAATAATTGAGTTACCAAAATTACTTGATGAAATTGTTGTGAAAACTTTTGAACAATAGGGGAAAACGAAAAAAATTTCTAAATCTGTATTTTACTCGATTGAATAAATTTTGAACAGAAAAAAACTTCAAACAAGAAATTTTTGATTGAACAAGATTTTTAAAGAAAGATAGTACACGATTGAAAGTTCTTTTTAATCGCAAGAAAAATAGTTTTGACAAGAGGTTTTTAAAGCTCCGTTATTTACCAAATTGACAGGAAAAATTTTGATAAATAATAAAAGACCAGCTATTCATTTATTTGACAGGGTACCAATTTCACAAGAAAACAACCAGACCGTCTTCTATCGCTTGCTCAAACTCGGCCAGAGTTAGCGCTGTAGTGCTTTTTTCGTTTTCGTACAGCACCAATACAGCCTTTTCGCCTCCATTTCGAACTTGCACTTCAACGACGCGGCCTTTCCAGGAGTTCTTCTTTCCCTCCTCGTCAAAGAACGTGTGTTCGATGGACTTCCCGGCATGCTCGTATGCTAAAACCACAAGATTATCACCTTTCTGATCGTTCTCGAAGAGAGAAAGAAGCTTGAGCTTCATTTCCGCCAAGCTGATCTTCTTGCCGCCAGCAGTGAGAACGTAGAACTTCTTGTCGGCGTGCTTCTGCAGGAGAACACGTTGCCTGAAACGAAGTTGTGCAGACAGAGCTTCCCATTTTTCCCTTTCACTCTTATAAGACGACAAGGAGGATTCCATTTCAGACTTCTGTTGCCAGAAGCCATGTTTGAAAAGAGTCTCCGTCCGTTGACGCTTACTGAGCGACTCCTTGGCCATTTTTTTTGAAGCGTTCTGGCACTTTTCTCGATGGTACTCTAAGCACCTTTTAGCCAAATCATTCCGCTTTTGACCAGCTGATTTCAAAGTTTCACCCGTCTCCTTTCTAATCCCATCCAAACATTCATTCTGTTCTTCTGGAGAAAGGGATCGGAACCATTCCATGGTGTGGTTCCTGTTGATCAGGGTTACCGCTTCGCACCTGGTCATGCTCATATTTGGCGCTTTGTGTTTGAGGTATGAAAAGTAACCAAAAGCGCTCTCAATAAGATTGTTTGTGGCTGGAGCACATCGCGTGTCTTCTCGTAGCTTATCTTTTTTTGATGAAAAAAAGCCGACCACCAGGTAGGAAGTCAGCAAAAATTTTTTTTGAGAAAAACTTTTGTGAAGCTACGAGCATTATTGATGTAGCCTCCAGAGCTGTTTCCGATGGAGACTGAGAAACGAGGCTCTCCAAAAGGCGAGCTGAAGTTTCTCCACCCGGAGCTTCCAACTCAAGAGAAGCAACTGGTGAGTCACCATCGAAAAAAGTCACCGGAGACCCCGAACACGCTTCTAACCAGCATTTCAGACGACTTGCGTAACCGCAAGTGTCGAAAATGTGGCTAGAATTTTCCGCCAAACGCCAGAGAGGACCTGTGACCAGTTGGTCGAGGAGCCCCAACACTTGAAGATGAGAAGTGGCAAGCTCGTCTTCGAGAAGCTCCGAAATAACTACCATTTCGGTCTTTTCGGAAACGAACTCGCTTATAAATTTTTGCAAGTGTTGGCGATGGTAGAAAATACGAGCAGCCAGAACAAACAAAATATTGAAGCGATGGCCAAGAAAAGATGGGAAAGAAAAACGGAACAAGCGTGCAGGCCGGCGGAGCGATCGCCGAAGAGTCGAGCCACTTCCTTCACCAGTCGCAGCACCGCTGGTTCGTCGACTTTGCTCTTCCCGGAGGCAAGAACTTCGTGCTCTGAAAGACCATCAAGAGCAACACGAGCAAAATTCGCAATCACATGAAGCTGGCAGAAAAAGTTTGAAAAAGTCATGAGCCTTTGCTGCTCTTCGAAAGACCTGTCACTCCAACCGCTCACCACGGCTGGAATAACTGTTGCACGATAGTGTTCAACTAACTCGTTGAACTTCAGCTGCGTGGCAGCCTTATCAGACATCGTGCAAGTCACTTGGGCAATGAACTGATCAAAACAGTCCTTTGGGGCGCCTGGGGTCTTGAACTGGTTTGCAAGTGCCTTGAATGCAGTGATGGCGGACTTCTCCACCACTTGCTCAATTCCCAGAATCAAAGATCCACCGTCAGGTCTTGACACCCCAAACATTTGCACCTTTGACTTGTTCTTGGTGGTCTCATCGGAATGGAGACAAAGCGGTTCATCGTTCTTTTTCACTTCATCGCAAACTGTTCTCACATGACGCTTAGCAAGATTGATAGATGATAAAGCTAGCAAGCGACATGTGGAAGCGGACGGTAAGTTGTTGAATTTCAAATCCACCATGTTACCAACTATCTCCATCACCTTACCAATCTTAGCATCAGCAGTTCCAAGATTTATGAGCTCAAGGATCGCCCCTCTGCACTTGTTGCTGAAACAACCTCGGATCATTAGCTCAGCTTTCCCAGCCTTTTGATCAGCCAGTTCTTGCTTCGCTTCATTTAAGGCCGAATCAGCTTTTCGCAACCGCTCGCGAAGATTTTTGGAAAGAGCTTTCTCTTGGCTCAACTTGGTGCTCAGTGTTGATTTTTCGCGCTTTATAGTCCCAATCTCTCGACGCAGTTTCGAAACTTTCAGTCTCAATTTACTCAACTTCGAGTTACCGAGTATTTTGGACGTTTTTTTCGAACTTTTTAGCGCTTCGAACTCATGACTCTTTTTCAAATCTAGGAACTTGCACCTCCAACTCCAAAGTTGATCGTAGCAATTTTGGTGCAAGGTTTTGGTCAAAAAAAGAATATTTGTGCAGATTTATTATATCGATTTTTCTCATTTTTTTCTTTTGTTTGAGTGAAAAACAGTTTTGGAAACAATACGAAAAAAATCTCAAAAGGTAACTCTGCCGTTTTTGAGTAGAAAAATGCGGTGAAAAAAATGTTTAGGGAACTTTAGTGGAGAAGGTTCGTATTCCAAGATTTGAGACAAAAAATTCAAATCAAACTTCAAAGTAAAAAAAAATTCTTCTGACTCGCCGTTTTTTCGTAGTACTTCTTGGTCTTGCTTGATACGAGAAAAATCCCGGTAGAACCTGCTGCGCATCGCCAAACTCGTGTCTTCTATCCGATTTCCACTCAACTCCACAACCACTTTGAAAAGATGCTTTTTTTTCGGAATCAGTGCGGCCAAACACAGAACAACTCCGTAAGTCATAACGCGGAGTGGCATTAGAGCCGTGAACTGGTTTGGGTCCACTCCTGATTCAACCAAATATTTTTTGCATTTATCCAAATGGCTGGAGGTTTGCAGAAAATTCGGATTTCCTGAAATAAAATCTTTAAGTGCGTATTTTTTTTTGCACACGAGAAAATTTCACCTCTCAAATTTAAAGGTTTTCCAAATTAATTGTTGAACAAACTTGAGCTGTATATAATGTCCATTAAATAATCTTAAAAATCTAAAATTAGGGAACAAGAACAACACGCTCACGGTCTAAAATTTTTAAAATCAAAATAATTTCTTTTTATACTCTTCGAAAACGTATTTGAAACAAATAAATCGAAAATAAAAGCTCATAAGTTTTCTTAAAATATTTGAAAAATATATATGACACGCGTACCATAACAAAATTAAATTTTTTTGCACCATAACAAAAATTAAAAATCCATGAAAGTTATATTTAAAGATGGTCCTTGTTTTTGTTCAATATGCTTTTATATGCGACTTTTACGATGACTTTCATGCGCCAAACTCCAAATTTTCAATTCCTTTGGTCATTTCAACGAACATCTGAAATTTGCGCCTAGAAGTCACATAACGAATAATACGCCAATTTTTTAAATTGCCGAAATTATTTGAGAACGAAGTCGTGTCTTGACTGTCAAGGAACTGCCAAATCATGATGACCTCGAGAACTTTTTCAAGCGCTACCAATTTTAGAAGCTTTTGTTCTGTAGAATCTGCTTAATCAGTCGTTGCTTAGGATACTGCCAAATTCGAAGCAACTTTTCCATATGCTTCGGGAAAATCAAGAAGGAGTGGTAAATCAAAATTTGAGTCCATCACTCGCCACTTAATGTCATGAATCCTGATATCTTCATCAAAATCAAATGCGAAAAAATCAAAGCAAAACCGCTTTTATGGGAAAGCTCGAGGAAAAAAAAAGAGGAGAACATTGATCTCTATTTGGTGAGATCAATGTAGCTTTTGGGAGCCGGCAAATCCTGAAAATTTTAAATTTTAACGATTTTCGAGTTCTTTTCAACTCAAAAAAAAATCAACAAGCTTTCGAAACACTACTAATATTTTTCCGAAATGCTTGATAACTTATCGTAGAAAAAAGAGAAAAAAAGATGTAGGCAAAGTCAGTCTTTTTTTTGCCAAGTTTCTCAAAGCTCACCAGTATTTTGTTGGCCTTGGCGTCCTCACTTGCTTTCACGGCTTTAGCAGCGTCTTCTGCCTGAAAAAATGGTTTCTTTTCTTTTGACTTTTGAGAGAATTATACCTTCATTTCGAATATTCCTGCCGCCTCGGTAATATCATCAAATGTATATTTTGCGAAGTCATATTTTTCTCTTATCTCCGGTTGCTTGATAGAAGTTTTCTTGGTCACCAGCTTGAGTTTTTTCTTTTTGCAATATTCTTCGACTTTAGCTTTGAGCTTTTCATAGTCCTTTTCGTATCCTGGAAAAAAGAACTTCAGCAACGAAGTATAAAAACGGAAAAAAAAAACAAAATCTGTTATCATACTTGACCTTCAACAATTTTAAACTTCTAAAGGAAAAAACTATTTCTTCGAGGGAATTTCTAAAGCTATTTCTTATGGCGTGTTCATCGGACAAAACGAAAATTGCTCCAAAACAAAAATCAGTACTGTTCTTCGTTTTGAAGCATGTTCCGTTTTTGCGATGAACACGCCATTAACGAAATAATGTAAAAGTTAGAATAACATCTCAGGCACTCTCTACTGAAATCGTGCAAAGTGCAGTGCCTATGCCGGCATTCTGCAAAAGAAGTTGCATGCATCCTGAAAATCAGAGCTTTGCATTTTGCCTAGAAGTTCTTCGTATTTTGCATTTCTTTTTGGGCTCACTTTTGTATGGACGAAAAAAAGTGCAAAATGCGAGGCACTTCTGTGCAAAAAGCAAAGCACTGTTTTGTAGAATGCATGAAGCTTTTTTGGAGTGTGCTGACATAGGCACTGCCTATTGCAAAAGTTCTGTAGAGCTGGTGCGCGCACGCGCGGGGGTACTGATTCCTTTTTCGCTTTTTCCACTGAGATACGGTTTTGAAACATATTTTTTATATTTTTATGATACTACCCCCTGCTCACGTTTTAAAGTTGTTCCGAGCACTTTCGAACTAATTTATGAAAAATGACTGCCAAGTGAAATTTTGATATTTCAAATTTTTGTGCAATATATACACTAAAAGATATATATATATATATATATCACAATAAAAACACTAAAAAGATATATATATATACTAAAAGAATTGTTATAGTATGTGTACCACGACTTGGAATTTCACCGAACGACATTCCGCTACTCTACAGAACTATTGCAATAGGCAGTGCCTATGCCAGCACACTCCAAAAAAGCTTCATGCATCTTGCAAATCAGTGCTATGCATTTTGCACAGAAGTACCTCACATTTTGCACTTTTATTCGTCTATACAAAAGTGAGCAAAAAGAAATGCAAAATACGAAGAACTTCTAGGCAAAATGCAAAGCTCTGATATTCAGGATACATGCAACTTTTTTTGCAGAATGCCGGCATAGGCACTGCACTTTGCACGATTTCAGTAGAGCTGTTCCGCTGCGTGCCTTTGCGCGCATTCAATTTTTCATTTTGTTTAAAAACTCGGCCAACACGTTTTCCTAGTGGAACAGTCCATCTATAACAAATGAGAACCAATTCAAAGCGAAACCGAGGCTCGCAAAGACGCTTCGCGACGCAGCGGAAGAACGGAATTTCGTTCGGTGAAATTTCAAGTCGTGGTACACAGAAAACATAGTCTGTTCAGATTTTGAGTGTCAAGCAGCTAACTCCACCCCCATGGCAAAAATATCTTTCGCGTCAATGTTTTATCTACATATGCCAGTGGCCCTTTTATAAGGCTGCTTTTTTGACCTCTTTTTCTATCTTTAAGATCGAAAAAGATCAAAATTAGCCCCGCGCGATGAAACATCGACGCGAAAAGGTACCGTCTCAGCTGGGGCGGAGTTAGCTGCTTGACATTCAAAATCTGAACAGACTATATCGATCGTTCTACCACACTATACAACAATAGCAATCACTCGCCTAACTCTTAAAATAAAATCATTTCTCTCCTTCACACTTACTTTCCAAACGGAGCATAGCTTGACTGAAAGGCTCCCCATGCATCGGCGACGGCCTCACGTAAACAAGGGCTGGAAGGTTTTTAGTGAGATAGGAACTTCCATCTCTTGTTTTATTTGCTTTTCGTGAACTTTTTCAGTTTGCCAACAATAAGTCTCTGTTTTTCCGCACTCCGAAACTTCTCATTAATATTCAGCTTGTATGTTGTCAGTGAGGTAGTGGGGTGTTATTTCATCCTATTTTTGAAAAATCGATTTTTGTCGAGCGGAAAAATACTATATTTCGCCGAACTTCCGGGAAGCTCGAATTTTACTCTTGAAACTCACATCCTTTGTGTTCATTGTAGTCGAAGCCCATGTAATGAAAATCCAAAAAGCGGCTCCATTCGTATATTGTCAGGTCCATCTTCAGCCTCTCTGCCTGCGGATCCTCATCCGTGTACAGGTGCTCGAGGACATGGATAAACTCTAGAAATCGGGGTCTTCAGAAAAAATACAAATAGCCACTTTAACAAAGTAAAAGACAGATTTTCAGCAAAACAAATTGAGATAGAAACCTAATGGAAAAGGACATTACCATGCATATTCTTGATCTTTCCTCTCGGGTTCTCCGGATCGTAGGCCTGTTCGTTGTTGATCAAGGTCCGCTCTTTAACTTCGTTCATGACTATCCTGCACACTTGGAACGTGATTTGGTTATAATCTGTAACTCGAAATTTCTGATTATTTAACGAGTAAGTAATCTTTAGGGAGTGAAATAAATACGCTTTTTATTACTACTGAAACTTATTACTAAAACATATAATTATACTAAATACTAAAACACATTTTTCTTAAACAACGCCTATAACGTACTCATGGCGAATTTTCTGCCGGTTTCATTAATTTCAGTCAGCAGCCGGTCGATCACGCCCAACGAGAGCCCTGAAAATTGCAAAGTAGACAAGCAGTTCACCAGAGAAAGTATTAGGAGCCGTGATGACACATTCGGACCTGTTCAACTCAAACCGAGCGCAAATCGAACGTGTCGGAGAATTTCTCTAATAACCACTTTAGTAGCGTTAGCTCTCTTAAGTGATCCCTAGAATTCTCCTGACACGTCCTATCCGCGGCCGGCTCGAGTTAGCAATCTCCGAGTAGTTTTCGATAAACTCGAAAGAGCGCGTTTGTGCAGAAAAACGTCACTTGCACAGCATTATTTTGACGCATTTTTTGCATCCGGAAAAAAAGAAACCTTGTTTTTACGTTTTTTTTTTCTCCTTAATAAAAAGCGAAATAGATACAGTATTGAGTAAAAAAAAAAATAAACGCGAGAAGCCCATGTTGACTTGGAAAAGTAGATTTCAAAGAAGTATTTTTTTTTCAATGAAGAGTTTCCTTTTGGATAGAAGCTTTTCCCACTAACGTTCTCGCGCAGGCTGGAAAAAGGTTTTTGACCGAAAAAGCGATTATAGAGAAGAAGGGACTGTTTTCGCACAAACGCGCCCAAAAATTTAATGAATTTTAAATGGAGGCTAGTCGAAAAGATATAGACTGACAAGCATCGGCAATTTTCTTCTCTTCTTTAGTATTGGGCTTGGTGTTCATCCACTTGGCTACCGTGTTATCCAAATGTTTGACATGTTCCGGAATCTTATTCTTCCTCTTTATGTTGTTCTCCTGCGTCTTTACGCTCAGATCCAGACTCAATCCCGCACTTTGGCGCTTTTCTTCTTTTTCTTCGTCCACATTTTCTTTCTTAGTGTTTCCTTTGACCTCCTTCTCACCTTTTTTCCGTGCCTTATCTTTTTCCTTCTTGGAAACCTCTTTTGTTGATCCTTCTAGGTTTGGAGCAAGGATTTCGACAGTTTCGGTGCATTTTCTTCCTTTTTTCGACTCGATGAATCTCGCGACCAAAAGATATATATCCTTATCGTCGTGCGAGTTACTGACATGATTGAAATGAAGTTTCCTGTAGGCCACGTTTTCCATGATTTTTGTTTTTTCTAAAGTTCCTCCTTGTCCCAGAATTGTATCCCTCCTATTCGCTTCAGCGAAGATGTCATCCATCTTGTCAACTGAAAATTTTTTTTTTTCTTTTCTGAGACTTGAATTTTGCACAGATGATAAAACTAGGGACCGTAATGCCACATCTCTTTGCTGACCAAAAAACTTCGTATATTTAGTTGCATTTTTGGCATTTCATTGCTGTTTACGCAGTTTCTCTTAACCGTTTAAGGGAACAAGATGAGGGAAACATACAACCGGTTATGTTCTACAATACTCCTTAGAAGAAACAGCTGCAAACGAAAAAAACCGGTTAAAATGCACGGAGTTCTTGTCAGTGAAAGAAAATGCAGAAAAAAAAAACAGGTATGGGCACCGTAAAACGTACTACTACAGTAGTTTTGATCTGTCCAGGACCTGTTTCTGAATTACAAGAGCCGCCCTCTAAAGATCTCTCAAGATTTACGGAAAGAGTTAATTGACAAAAAAAGCATATTTTTTTGGTTTTTTTACTTCATTATTACTTCGTTTGACGTTTTTTTCTATAACCAAATTTATTATCCAGTTCTTTTTGACGTAGTTTGAAAACCGGTTTTGTGTAAATTAGAGCCAAATTGAATTTGCTGATGCTGTTTGAAGATTTTTGTTATATGAATCATCTAAATTATATAATTTTTTTCTAGTTTTTTTGATGATTTTTTTCGAATTTAAAACAAACATTTCGCCATACGAGGTTTTTTTAATTTCTACTTTCTCTCCATGATTTTTTTTTTCTGAAGCTCGGTTTTCAAGGTATAAAAAATTGCAAATGCTAAAATTGAAAAAAACAATTTCGAGTATGCGATAGTGCGTCTCGGTGTATCTATCTGCGCAAACTTTTAGTTTTGGAGATATGATTTTTTAAAGTTTTTGTCCTTGAACACGTGATGCCGTTCGGAAGGAATGTGTCAAGATATTCCATGGCATATTTTCGAGACGGGTCTCAGAAAATGTTTCGTCTTGTCTCGAAAGATCGAGACAATACATCATCTCGTCCCGAAATTTTTTCGAATAAATTCTCTCGTCTCGAACTCAAAAAGTCTCATCTCGCACAACCCTGCTTGAGAATGAGAAACTGACGCTGTGCACAAGTACGTATTCCTGCTCCTGTTTCTTTGAGAAAGCAGGCCGTCCGTTGCTCATATGCCGTCAAACAGTTGATAATATTGTCCACTTAATCGATCAAGATTACACAAAACGTCCAAAACTCAGTTACATACAAAAGCATTTATGCTGCAGCAGCAGGCTGTAGTAGGTCGTGTGAACGTAAGATGCCATCAGGGTGACTGTAAGTGAGAATTCAAAGTTGGAGTAGAAATCAAAATCAGCTCAAACTGACCACATTGGGCGTATTCTTCGAACTCCTTCTCGAATCCAGTCGACGGCGGCGCCTTTCTTCTTAGGAAAAAGAACATCAAAGCCAGTAGGAGGCCAGTTATAACCATCCAACACAGTGAAGTGATCGCGATCGCCATGATCGGCATTCCTTCTGCAATAAGACCCATCAGAAGTACGTGCTACGAAGAGACAGCAAAGCAACGCCCCATTTTTGCGATGGTGAGATATAGTCAATGTTTCCTGAGGTGAAAGGCGAGGGAGGCGGGACAAAGGGGGCAGGACGCGTGCCAGCGTGTGCGTACGCGGTTCTTGGCGCCAGTTCAAGTCATTCGCCGCCGACTATTTAAAAAGCTCGGCCACCGCTCTTTTCTATATTTTTCTTCTATTTTTGATGCACACATGAACATAATCAATAAATAATTTTAAAAAGTGAAAAGAGCAATAAATAAGCTCTCTGAATGCTCGCTAGCGATTGAATTGAACACGTGCCAAGAACCGCGTACGCACCGCTACGCGTCCGCCCTGCCACGCCTCACGCCTTTCAAGTCGGAAAGCATTGACTATACACTGTTTTAAATTGGTTTTTCGTAAAAGCGCAATAGTGAACCAAAACCAGAGAGGAAATTGAGGTGGAAACATGGAGAAAAGCAAGAAAAAGTACTCAAAGCAGAATCTAACGTACTGACTATCTGAATGAAGAATGCTCCAGTACCCATTTTAAAAAGAACACACACTTCAGCTGTTC